CTGACCCTATATATATATATATATATATATATATATATATATATATCTTTCTTTAACAGACTGAATATATCAAATAGAGTAAATCAAATAGATTAAAATTAAAAATAACTGCAAAAAAAAATTTATATGGAGATTCATGTTAGTACTCATAACATTTGTGGCACTCCTTGGGGGAATATTTGCTGATTTTTTGTTTTTTATTTGTGCTTCTTAGATTTATATTTTGACCTATTTTATCTTTTATAAGTGAAAAAATTAGGTTAGTGAACCAAATTAAAGATGGAAAACAATTTTAAGGCTGAGTATGGTTTTTCAGCAGCAGGCAAAAATACTATGAGCACAGAGTTTTCAGAGTTAATATTTTCTAGTCAACCACACGTTACTTATAGATACAAATATCTATAGTTGCTAAAGTAAATGAAAGCAATTGGGCACCTAAAAGTATGAGGGCAAGTGGGAAGACTAGGTTGGTCAGTGAACACCCAGCTGTATTTGTTAGATTCTCCAGAGAAACAGAACAAATAGGATAGATGCACATATATCTATGCTGTATCTGTCTATATATCTATCTACACGCATGCACACACACACACACATCCAGGCATGTGTAATAAATGTGTAATGCTCAGTGTAACAGAGATCATTATTCCCATCTCAGACATGTCTAAACATGACTTAAATAGTTTAAATGACTCCCCGTTGTTCACAAAGCTAATTAAGTCCTGAAGAAGTGATTTAAATAATGATTTTGGATTTTAGAGCTCACTGCTTCTGTTGTCTATAGACACAACAAGAATAGTAACATTGAACACTGTTATCACTGGCCTACAGAACCATCATGATATAACCCTCTAGAAGGGAATAAGAGGCTTTCACTAACTGGCTGTCATTCTCAGTTTCTATGAGGGCAATGGGAAGACTAGGTTGTTCAGTGAATACCAGCTCTATTAGTCAGGGTTCTCCAGAGAAACAGAACCAATAGGATAGATATAGAAACAGATACAGATAACAGATATAGATATAAATATAAGACGAGATTTATTACAGAAATTGGCTCATGTGATTGTGGAGGCAGCTGAAGAGCCAAGAAAGCTGGTGGTGTAATTCAATCAGAGTCTGAAGGCCTGGGAATTGGGGTGAGGTGACGGGGTGATGTTGCAAGTCTAAGTCTAAGTCTGAAAGCCTGAGAACCAGGAGCACTTAAGTCCGAGGACAGGAAAAGATGGATGTCTCAGCTAAAGCAGAGAGAATGAATTCGCCTTTCCTCCACCTTTTTGTTCTACTCAGCCCTTCAAAGGATTGGATAATGGTCACTCATTGGGAAGGACCTTCTGCTTTACTCAGTTCACCAATTCAAATGCTTATCTCTTCCAGAAACAACCCCACATACAGATGCACCCACAAATCCTGTTTCACCAGCTATCTAGGCATCTCTTAGCTCAGTTAAGTTCACACATAAAATGAACCATCATCACATTAGTGAAATTAAG